TTCACTCGAAATGGAAGTAAGCTCAACAATTATGAAACAAGAGATTCTTCGAAACCCAACTTTTCTTCGTGCCTGAGTTGGCTTATCCGAAAATGCCCACCACATTCAGTGATGGTGTTCCAGCCGGAAAGCTTTACTTGAGGATCTATTCCGATTGTAGCTCAACCTTTTCAGCGGAGCTTAAACAGACAACTTCGAACTCATTGGCAGGCAGGGGACACACTTTGTGTAGACGAATTCAACCAGTGCACAAGTTCATCACTTGCCAAGATATCTTCATACTATTTTTCGCATGCAAGCAAACTTTCAAGACTACCAGTAAATCAGTAATATGAGATGCATTCACCCTATATCGTTGAAGGTGATGAAGGACTTGTAGTAGAATTTTCCCACAATGATATGAGTAGAGCTGACGTTTCCAGTGAATTTCGCATTGTCTTGCTTTACAAAAAGTAGTGGAAAAATTCTACTACCAGTCCTTCATCACCTTCAACGAAATAGGGTTAATATTACTGATTTATTGGTAGTCTTGAAACTCTACTTACATACGAAAAATAATTAATGTAGTCGATTGTTATGGCAAATGTACGTTTGCTTCATCAAAAATCCCACCAAAGAATGTGATATGGGAAAAGGCCTAGTCCTCACAATTCTTCATCAGCTTAAACGAAATAGGGTGAATACATCTTTATACTAGCCCATTAGTTAGGCCAAAATTGAATCCGTCATATCCTAAATTTAGTGGGCTTTCTTTAATTAGTCTTCACATCTTAAGAGCATTCATATCAGGGAGCTTGGAGGACAAGACATTTTTCTGTATCTCACATAAACTGAGGCTTGTTGAGGAAGTGTTATGCGTCACATAACTTGTCACTTTGATGAGGTGGACTTAGGTGCTGAGGGAGCTAAATGAGGCAATGTGTTATTTTTCGCATCACCTCCAAAAAATGTATAATTGGCGTATGACAACCAGTTGAAATCGACTTTTTACTCTTTTAGGGAAATGCAACTTTTTGCACAATTAAGTTTACATCTTCCCAGTTGGAGGCTTTCGCGGCGGCCTTTACTTCCAAACAGGAAGGTTCCGTGCCCCAATTCACCCGAAAGGATGCGATCAGTCCCAAAGCCCTTTCCATTTTTGCTCTACCCTCCTCCTGCCCGTTTGACTTGTCCTCTTTCGTAATCGTCTTCTTTTTTACCTTTTCTCTTCTTGTCCAAATATTCCCCGAGTGCCCAAGTGTTCTCGCATTCTTCCCAGTTGAAGAGTCAAAATTAACTCCATGCGGTGTATGCACCATGAAACTTCAGCTAAAAGAAGAATTGTTTACATATGACTCGGGATAGCTGAGATTACTCCCCTCTGATTGGCTTCATTTTTGCGTAAAAGTGATTTTAAATAAGCCTATATTATAACTTGTAATTACACGCAAATTGGTCCGACTTATAGCTTCTTGAATAACTGTTGAGTTTAGAGGTTGTTTGACCTTGTTTTCGCAACATGGTCATATTGGCAGGAAGACTTAGAGGAACTGAGCTAGTCCGGGGTCCATTGTCTGCATGATCATTTCCAAAGTTGAACCATGCACGTGGTACACCTGCCAACATGACCAAGTTGAGAAAACAAGGTCAAAAACTTCTATACAGCGGAAGGAGACTGCGACTACACAAAAGGCTACACCATCTTGGTCTTCATACCTTCGATTAATTGTTGAGTTTATTTCAGAAGGTAGGACATTGAGTGTTAACTTGTCAGTACATTTTATGAATGGACGAATGAAGCTTATGATGGGCGAAATAGGGATACCTGTTTCAGCTAATTATGGGCATATATACAGTATTTAACTACATATTTGCTGGAAATGCGAAAACAGAGGGTTTTGAGTAGGACAATTTGCACACACGCCAAGTGGGTTCAGTGTATTTTTACGCTATTTCGTAAAGTATGGATTCTTGCTCTGATGATGTGTGTCACGCTACAGACGATGAACCAAGCCTTTCTTGGCATAATCCAATAGTCTCCATTTCGCGGCAATCCTCCTTCGGTTTCAGGTTAAAATATTTCACGAATTCTTTCCAACCAACATTTCCCTTATAAGTGTAAGTAATATCACAATATATCACTAAAGAATTCTTGAAAATTCAGTTTGTCTTCACTATTCTCTTATTAACAAGTTCAGGCTGACGCCAACTCCGACGAAAAAATATCGAGTTTTTCTCTGGTATGCAACTTGGATGACATCGTCAAAACTATCAGGATTCAAGCTTACGATGAGCCAAGAAAACTCACCGACTCATTTCTACCTGCTAGCTGTATATGTGCAAAAAAAGTTAAGTTTCGAGGAATCTCTTGCTTCATAATTGTTGAGCTTGCTTCCATTTCGAGTGAAAGTGTTGCGTGAAGAGATTTGAAGGTCGCTTCCACCAGAAGACGACGGCCGATTCCTCTTGACCAGCTGTCGATTGGCTTTGCTGGAACATTCATGCTGACACTGTTTCCGAGGCAATCTTTTTCGATTCTGGTGAAAAGGCGCTAAGCTTTCGTTCGTCATATGACCAATATCATCAGAACAAGGTATCATCGTGACAACCTAATGCAAGCTGACGAGTCAAGAAAACTCACCGGCAACTCTCTATACGCAAATTTTACTTTTAAGAAGTTAATCAATGTTCATATAAAGTTA